CAGAAAGGGCCACATAAACCAGAGACTTCATCCGCCTGAGACCAGAAGAACTAGATGGTGCTCCAGCTACGACCAGTGACCGCCCTTACAGGGAATACAACAGAGAGTCCCTGATGGATCAAGAGAAAGAAGGGGTGCAGAACTCAAATTCTAGTAAAAAGACCAGACTGAATGGTCTGAGACTGGAGGAACCCCAGAAAGCATGGCTCTCGGACTCTCTTGTTACCCCAGAACTAAAACAATTCCCAGGGGCAACTCTTTGGACAAAGATTTGACTGGACTGTGGGATATAAAATGATACTCGTGAAGAGTGTGCTTCTGAGCTCATATTGATACATGAGACTAAATGGGCAGCTTCTGTCTGGAGGTGAAATGAGAAGGCAGAGAGGGTCAGGAGCTGGTTGAATGAACACGGGAAATCGTGTGGAAAAGAGGAATGTGCTGTCACAGTATAGGGAGAGCAATTAGGGTAACATAACTATGTATGTGTAAATTTTTGTTTGAGAGACTAACCTGAAATGTAAACTTTCACTTAAACTACAATAAAAATAAAAAATAAAAAAGAGTTCTACAGTTGCAAGTGACTGAAAACGCAGCCCAAGTTGGCCTAAACAGAGAGGATGGTTGCACGAGGCAGGGAAACCCTATGAAGCCTGGGGAGGTGCAGCGACGAGCTCTCCCTCTGCCTTCAAGTCTGACCACATTGAGCCAGAGACCAAAGAGTCCCAGATAAAAGCTAGAATGCTTTAGCCAGCATGCTCGTGACTCCAGGTCAGGTGGCAGACGACTTTCAGGGCCACTGTGAGGTGTGACTTCCTGAGGGCAGTCCCTCACCGCATGTGTCTCCTTAGCCCAGGCAGGTCTCTGCCCACAGGAGGTCAGGAGTTGGGGAAATCAGTTCTCTCTGAGAGCTTGACCCACAGCTCTGGAGATAACTGTGCATCTCAGTCCCGTGTCTGCACTGTGGTCCACCCCACGGCCTCTCTGGGCGTCACCCGTGTCTGCAACGGCCGTCTGCCCCGCAGCCTCTCGGCCTCTCTGGTGGTAGCTCGAATAGTTGCAGGCTCGGCCATGTTGTAGCAGAGAGAATATTCCAGCTCCAGGCACTCCTTCTCACAGCACGCTGTCCACAGGCGGAGGGGGGCTCTCCCCGTCTCAGAAATGTGCCTCAGGAGGAGGAAGCTTTTTCTCATGTGAGCCCAGCATATCCTCCCTATCCTGTGGCCTCTGATCAGGCCGCGTGGCCTCAACTGACCTGCTACCAAAGCTGGGGGCATCCCAGGAGAGGTGCATTGGGCCAGGGAGACGGAAGACCCAGGCCCTGGGGAGGTAACTTCGGCCCGGCTTGAAACCCTTCACCGTGAGGCTGCGCAGACAAGGCTCGTCACAGAGTCAGGGCACGGCACAGAAAGGGGGGCTGATCGACAAAGTGCACGTGGCTGTGAGCCTGCCCACGAGGCCTGTGAACAGCTTTTAGATGTGAGGACAGGAAAGAAAAAAGTGACAAAAAAGGAACTAACTGAGAAGCAAAATTTCAGACTATTTTAATAGCTATTAATGTTTTAGTCTGAGCATTTATGATGTCCATCACTTACCTAAAATCGCAAAGTCCGTGCAGTCCAGACATTGGAAGAGTCTGACAGTGGGCGGCCTGGCCTCGTGCAGACCTGCCTGGACTCACTGTAGCCACACACGGGGTTTTGGCGTCGTGCGAAGCTCACGCTTAGGTTCCGATGTGCCGGTGGAGGGACGTGTGGGGTGGGGAGTGGCCCTCTTGTTGCCCTTGTGAATCTCCGCCCAGGCTCTGAGGCTCTGCCTGGAAGTTCCAGATCAGGGCCTGGGCACCGGTGGGCCTTCTCACACTGTCCTCTTTGCCATTTTTGTTTCTCTTTTGTCTTTATTCTAAATTCTTGGAAAATGTCTTTAGAATGGTAAATGTTTTCTTACCAGCTGGGTGCAGTTCTGACTCAAGTGCCTTTGGCAGGTTTTGTTCGTGCTCTGGTTTGGGCTGTCTGTGACCCCCCGTTTCTTCCCTCCCTGCCCCCCGTCAGTGAGAGTCAGCGCACGTGCAGACCAGGGGTGGCCCAGAGTCACAGCGCACATGCCTTCGCCAGCATTGCTGGTGGCCGATGGACATCTTCGAGCTGGCAAGGACGGGAAGGGTGACATCCGCATCTTCTCACGCATACACGTCTCGTCCTCTGCGCAGACGGGCTCGTGTAGCCGTTCACGTGGCGTGCGTCTGAGCCGGAGCCGCCTGTGTTTTGCTTTCAGTGCGCGACCTGAGGCAGCAGATGGGCGCCCTGCAGAGCCAGCTACAGCAGGTGCAGGCGGAGCGCACGACGCTGACCGGCAAGCTGAGGGCGTCACAGGCCGAGATCGCGTCCCTGCAGAGCGTCCGCCAGTGGTACCAGCGGCAGCTCGCGCTGGCCCAGGAGGCCCGGGTCAGACTGCAGGGCGAGATGGCCCACATCCAGGTGCGGACTGCTGTGGCCGGGGCCAACACTGTGGTGGCACGGGGGGCTGGCCTGGTCAGCCCACTACTGTCTCAGTGGAGAACGGGGTTGGTTCCCTAAATTAGAAAGATGTGTTTCTAGATTTCACTGGAAAATTAAAAAGCAAAGTCTGCGCACCACTCATCTAGCCACACCCCCAAGACCTCTTGGGTCTCAGCTTCTGCTGAGCGTTCCTAGTGTCTAAACTCCCCTTTTTGGCACGTCCCGCTGACCCTGGCCCTGGGTTGTAACTCTTCTCCTTCTGAGGGGAGTGCGTCTGTCATTTGGCCTCGGCTCCCGCAGTCCACTTCCCCCTGGGCTCAGTGTGCCCTCTTCGCCAGCCCCTGCTCTAGACACACAGGGCTCTCCCCGTGTGAAGTTTTGTGTCTGAGTCCTGTAGCAGACAGTCTGCCTTCCTCTGTTGTCACTTTGTTGGTTGTGTGCAGGCCCATCCCACATTATCTTCATTCTCACTACGGGAGAGGAGACTGTCCGGGTCCTCAGGAAAGTGTCCCACTGGACACGTGTGGACTGGGAACTCTTGGGAGCATCGAGGCCGCGTGATCGGGCCACCTTGGTCTCTTACCAACAGGCGTTGGAGACGCTCAGGAGGAGAGGCAGCTGCTGACAGGAACTCCGTCTCAGGTGTCAGCGCTCTGAACGTCAGAGCGCTTCTGAGAAAGTCGGCAGGGCTGTGGTCAGCTTAGTCTCCTTCTCCGTTTAGCAGTGGGTTTTGCTGTCTCCTTGTCTTGTTTTTTTTCTCTGGGAAAAATACTGTAGATTCATTTGAAACTTTATTTCCCAAACTGAGAGATAATTTTACTCTCACGATTACAAATGTACAAAGTAGCCATGTTCATATATTTACTATAGAACATATTTTTTACGCCGAAAGACCATATAGAAAACACTTGTTGTACTTAAAACACACCTGGAATAAAGTGCGATACAAGTGAGTGCACTTTGGAAGTGAGTGCGTTTATCTGGCATGAAATAGTTTAAAGAGTTAAACCAGGTCTGCAGATTCTGGTGTTCGTCACAAACGTGATTTGGAAGACAGAAATAGAGGAAGGGTCAAAGTCAGTAGCAGTCTGGGAACTTCAGCTGCTGTTTAAAAATTCCTTTGGACCCAAGGTTCAGTACTTAATAGCTAGGCTTTTTAATGCATTTTCTGAACCTGAGTGTCTCCCTCTTTCCCAGCAACGAAGGAGTGGTCTGTAGAAGGCAGGAGAGTGCAGGGATCATGGTGTTTTCACTCCCCTAGGCCCTTGCATCTGGGCGTCTTGGAGGTCTGGGAACCAGAGTTGGACTCAGTAGTGGTGATAGAAGACCCAGCCTGCCCTCGGTTTTGTTTCGTACCTTGCTTCTCTTTATTGACCATTTGCTTCTCGTGGGGCCGGCGTGTCGGCTGCTGCTGCTCTTTCTCCTCCAGACGATCTCGTGTGTGCAGGCTCACCTATGGCGTGTGGGTCACAGCCCTGCTGGGCAGGCATGGCTCATGTGGTGACTACTTCAGCCACACTGCCCCGTCCGGTCAGGCCCTCACCTGTAGGGCTCTGAGATGTGCCTCCGTAGGAAACGTGCAGTTGTTGCCACAGCTGCACAGTCTTGGGGTGCTGACCACCCTGACGCCAGGCGGCTGGACCTTCATGGTGGCGGGAGTGAGGCCCCCATGGGGGCTGGGAGGGGTCGCAGGCAGCGGCTGTCCTGTGCTGGTGCCAGTGCCCCTTGCACTGGTGGCCCAGGACAAGCCGGTTTCCACATATCTTTACATCTGGTGACTTTTCACTTGCGGGCTTTTTCTTTGAAGGTTGGACAGATGACTCAGGCAGGCCTCCTGGAGCACCTGAAACTGGAGAACGTGTCCTTATCCCACCAGCTGACAGAGACGCAGCACAGGTCCATCAAGGAGAAGGAGCGCATTGCCATCCAGCTGCAGAGCATCGAGGTGAGGACGCCTAGCTGGGTTTGGGCCGTGCCGTTAAAATGTAGAAAGTACGTGAATCCCTGTATGTATACATAACCATGACCTGTATATTGCATATATGCACTTAAATACCGTTTTTGAACACCCGAGCTCCTCTGGTAGGCCCACTCCTCATGCTCACTGTGAGCGCATCCCATCTGGGAGCAGATCATCACTGAACTGTTGGTGGTGTCGGGAGTGCTGCTTCTCATCCGCCTTGGTGAGGAGCCAGGGCTGCATGTGTCTGCTCACAGCACCTGCTGTGCCCTTCGTCAGTGCCCGGGTCCCTCCTGTGCAGACCTGGGCTCTTGCTGGTGCTCCTAGAGCGTAATATTCTGTGTCCTGCAGTCAGTGGCGGTGCCACCAAAGGGCACAGAGCTCAGCCATGGGGCCACATGCTGGCTGTTACCTCCAGCTCTGTGACGTCGCCCCCCCGTCTGCAATGTGGCATCAGCTGGGGTGAGGCAAGATGCTTGGCGGGAGCCGTGCTAGCCCGTAGGGCGTGTCAGTGAGTGCGCTGTCCTTGCGTTCGTTTAGTCCCGTGCTCTGCTGCACAGAACTCTGAATATCTGAAGAGCTCTTTGGATCCCCAGCATCCCCCCTTCTCTGATAAGTTGAAGGATGAGCTCATTTCTGACGTGGGTGTTCTTGAGGCCTGACTGCAGCCCCATGAACTGGGCATGGCCAACTGGTCCTGGCTGGTCAGGCCTGGCGGTGCCTCCTCCCCTCCCCCGAGCTCGTAGACCTGTCATATCACCCAGTGACCGTGTGGTGCTGTCGCTCGGGCCTTTCCTTACACAGTGGTGCGGGCACAAGTCCTCCTTGTGAGTGGTACAGGGATGCACAGCCCCACCTGCTCCCAGGTGCGATCCTGGTAGCAACATCACTTTCTTTCCTTGGATTGGTCAGCACCTAAAATGTTTGAGAGGCTGCACATGGCCCCAGGACACACCCTGGGCAACCCTGTTTCGTTGGGGGTAGATTTGTTTCATTTTGCATTGAACAGTCACAGGTTTCACTATAGGAAACACAGAACAGTACCTTCAGTGTCATCTCTCTGTTGCTCTCTGTCCAGCCAGGCCCGGGGTCAGCAGTCGGGAATCGGGGATGGAGGAGCAGGCCGAGCTGACTGGGAGAGGGGCCTCTGGCTGGCTGCTGTTGGCACACAGGCAATCTGCTTTTTAAAAATACTTCGCTTTCTGGGCCCAGGCTGACATGTTGGACCAGGAAGCTGCCTTTGTTCAGATTCAAGAAGCCAAGACAATGGTGGAAGAAGACCTCCAGCGGAAGCTGGAGGAGTTTGAGGGCGAGAAGGAGCAGCTACAGAAGATGGCAGATTCTGCAGCATGCTTGGAGCAGAAGCTGGAGCAGGTAAATTCGACTGATTCCATTTTGAACAAGCCTTCCCTGTGTGGGCACTGAGAACTGCTTTTAAAAGTTTACAGGGCCGCACACAGGGGACCTGCACAGCTAGTCTTCTCATGTTTGGCCACACAGAGGTCTGGGCTGGATGGCTCTTGGAACCCTTTTAATGGTTATCAATCACTCTGCTGCCCCTGCAAACCTGGCCATCCGTACACTCTGTAACTGCAGGATACTTGTTTCTGTTAGTGTTTTTCTACACTGGAATTTTGCATTAAAAAAAAGACTTCCTCCAAGGTGTCCATCAATTTTACTTGAAACCTGAATAAGGGAGAAATACAAGTTCCCCAAGCAGGTGGTATTTTCACTCAGGAGCAGCCACGTTGAGTGGTTTTTTTTTCCAGGTAAAGCTGACTTTGAACCAGCGAGACCAGCAGCTGGAGGCGCTGCAGGAGGAGCACCTGGGACTGATGAGGCAGCTCACCGCAACCCAGGAAGCACTGCAGGCCCGGGAGCAGAGCTTTGGGGACCTGCAGACGCACCATGAGGAACTGCAAGCCCGGCTGGAGGAGCTGCAGGGTGAGGCGTCCGCCAGGGATGACACCATCCGCTTCCTGCAAAACGAGAAGATCGTCCTGGAGGTGGCTCTGCAGGCGGCCAGGAGTGGCAAGGAGGAATTTGACAGGGGAGCAAAGCGCCTGGAAGAGGGAGCCGAGGAGACATCGGAGGTTCTCGAGCAGTTGAGACAAGAGTTGGCTGTGAAGTCCAGTCAGGTAATGCTGTCTGCTGCCACCTTGTTAGGAGTCAGAGCTGCACTGAGTGGATGCAGGTGTGTGGTCCTCAGTGCACGACACCTGGAAGGGTCTTCAGGGCGCGGCTCCAGGTCCAGGTTGAGGGGTATCTTTGGGACACGGTTCCGGGTCCAGGTCAGGGGTGTCTTTGGGGTGTGGCTCTAGGTCCAGGTCAGGGGTATGTTTGGGGCATGGCTCCGGGTCCAGGTAGGGGGTGCCTTTCAGGTGCAGCTGTGGGTCCAGGTAGGGGAGTCTTTGGGGTGCGGCTCTGGGTCCAGGGGGGAGGTGTCTCTGGGGCGCGGCTCCGGCTCCAGGTGGGGGGGGTCTTTTGAGGTAAGGCTCTGGGTCGAGGTGGGGGCGTCCTCTCCTAGACGTGCCAGAGACTCCAGCCGGCACTCTCGGGGAGAAGCTGAGTACTGTTTGAGGATTTTGAAAGAAATCTACCAGGAAACACAAGTTTCTATGCACAGGTGACTCAGAGTTCAGGTTTAGGAGAAGCAACATATTCCTCATGTTACCTGAACCTCTGTGAGCTTTGGCTTTTCAGTGTGCCTTACTGCACATGGCACCCCTGAGACCCAACACAACGGAGCATCAGAACAGTCTCACCGCCGCGCAGCCGTGCATGAGCTGGTGAGAGGAGGACGGGCCGCACAGAGGGACCTGGCACGTGGCTCGGCAGGCGGTCATGGCTGGGAATGTTCTGTGCTAATGGCATGACGTGGTTTTGATGTAGGCAGACGTGTTGAAAAATACAGATAGAGTGAAAAAGCAAAAGAGTGATGCGGAAGGAAGTCGAATTAGTATCAGGCAGTAATTGTGTCTTCCAATTCCATCCTGTCAGCATCAAGGACAAGAGGAAATCCATATATTTTCCTTGGGGAAAGTAAGATAAAAGGAGGCTGCCTTTCTTGTCAGGCATTGACCTGAACTGAATTATTTTCTGGGAGAGAGGTACTAGGCAAATCATAGCTAATAAAGCATGTTTATACACAGTGGGAAAAAAAAACCACACCAAAATCGTTGCCATCGAGTCGATTCCCACTCATAGCAACCCTATAGGAGAGAGTAAAATTGCCCCATAGGGTTTCTAAGGAACAGTTGGTGGATTCAAACTGCTGACCTTTTGATTAGCAGCCGAGCTCTTAACCACTGCGCCAGTGGGAGGTGATTTAGAGGAGCTGAGAGTTCTCATGAGGAGTCTGATTTTCATTTTATGACTGTTAGCTCAGTGAGAGAGATCCACTGAGACTTGGGAAGCCCTGAAGTGAGGCTGGGTGGTGATAGGCGTTACTTAGTATGTCTGAATCTGACCCATGTTGCTCTCCACAAAGTTACTGGTGGGTGCCCCTGTGCAGAGATTGTTACCTTGAAAGCAGAGTGGAGGGGGTGGTGGCAGCGTTCCAGTCCCTGGGGGCATCTCTTCAACCCCAATACTCCAGTTTCCCTGGGGGTGTCTCTCCAGCTCCAGTGTTTGCTTTCTTGACTCAGGGGCACCCAAAGAGCTGGCCCACAGCCCTCAGCCTGCCCGAGCCATCGGCCCTGCCCGCATTAGTCCACATCCTTATGCCTCCTTAAGATGCTCGTGGCTTCTCCTGTGCAGTTCTGAGCCGCCTATCCGTGTGTGGGGCTGCCATAGGCCAGGTGGCCCTGGAACGGCCGGAGGGGCATGAGGCACACAGAATAGACCAGTTCTCGGTCCCCCCAGGCTGTCAAGAAGGATGCCCTTGACTCCACTCTCCGCGTGGTAGGAAAACTGGCTAATTCCTGGTCGGATCCCAGTGTGATAACTGGATTTGTGTGGAGTACTCTGGCCTTCGAGGACGAATCATGTGGGCATAGAAAACCTGGGGCCTAAATCATCTTGTTCTCGCTTCCAGTGACGATGACCACACACACTCATAAATGAAACGTTTTCTTGTGAACATTGTTTCATTTGAGCTTCAGACAGCCCCAGGTGAATATGGGGGGCACCATTATACCACATGTGTGCTTTTTGGAGTTTCCCGAAGCTTTCCATGTCAGGGCTGGGAGACCTCTCGGGTTGGGTTATCTATCACCCGGCTTTTTAAGAGCATTTTTAATAATCTAGAGTAGCGTTTCACAAATTCCACGTGCTCCTGCCCCAGGGTCCTATAAATGCAGTTTTGATTTTGCAGGTCTGGGGCAGAGCTGAGACTACATCTCCAACTGCCCCCAGGTGGTGTGGATGGCTGGTCTCTGACCAGACTGTGAGCTACAAAGATATAGGACAGGGATGGCCAACTGCAGCCAAGGGCCCAGACTGACCCCTGCTTTTGTAAATAGTTTTATTGGAACACAGGTGGACTCATTCATGACAGAATGGCTGTGGCTGTGTTTGCACTACAAGGGCAGGTGTGAGATGCTGCCACAGGCCGTGTGTCTGCAAAGCTTACTGTCTGGCCATTTATCCGGAAGGGTTTGCTGACCCCAGATCTGGAGCTTCCTCTTCCCTCACGTTTTCCTCTCTTCCCCTGTCCCCTTCCTCTGACCTCCCTTCCCTTCATCTTCGTCTTAATTCTTTTTAAGTGGCAAGGAATGAGAGGCAGGCAGTCTTTCCTGCTGCAGTGACTCTTAGAAACCATGGCTCCATCCGAGTGAGGGATTGTCTCCACACAGTGACTGCTATGCTCTTAGGAAGTGTTTCTGGGCACCATGCCCTTCCAGAATCATTTAGAGTACTGCACTATGCAAACATGTCCCCCGCAGGTGGAGCACTTGCAACAGGAGACAGCCACTCTGAAGAGGCAGACGCAGAAAGTAAAAGAACAGTTTCTTCAACAAAAGGTAAAAACATCGTTGGTGGGTTTCTTCGTGTCAAACACGTATGAGAAAAAGTATTTTATGGTGTACTTGCTCCAGTAGAACAAAACTGAGCAAGAAAAATGTAACCTTTAGAACCTTCTGAATTATTTTGAAGGCAGTTCACTGACTCTAAGATGTGCGCCCCTCAGCCCCATTTCACTGTCTGTAAAGTTGGGAGCATCTTCCCAGCAGGTAGATTGAGGGTGGCTGTCACTGCCTGCACCGGTGGGGCCTGGCGTGGGCATCCCAAGGGGGCCGTTGCTCGGAGGGATGTGTGCACTGTTGTTACTCCACGTGGAATTTGCTGCTTAAAATGTCTCTGAAAAACTTACCCATGATTTTGCATGGAGACAAGCTGTCGTATTCTCAGGAAGGCCTAGGACGTAGATGTGACAGTGAAGCAAATACCCACTGTGGGGAAATGACTGCAGTTCCAGTTCTCTTGCAAAGCTTGCACAGCATCAGTTGAGGCCTTAAGAGATCTGAGAAAGAGCAATACCCCAGAGTAGTTGAAGCAGTCTTTCTTTCATACTGAGATTTAAGCAGTAGGGTTACCCCAGAACCCAGGCAACTGAAGGCAGAAGAAATTGCCACATTCCTTGGAGTAGACGCAGTGTTTCAAAGCGACCAGGGGCTGGTGCGACTGCCTGCCGCTTCACACCAGACCCTGGTTAGGGCGTGGTGGTGTCGCTGACAGACAGCACTCGTGGCACACGCTGTGCGGGCGTGTCTCGTTGGTACGGTCTTATATTTGATGAAATATGGTAAGATCCTTTAGCTCAAGGTTAAGGCCTTTTTCAGTAAGCAGTGCAATTGGTTTATCAGAGTGTTTGGTTCCCATCCTTGGTCCCCGAGAGCACCCACCCCCCGTGCCCTGCACTGGCTGTAACTGTTGCCTTTGACGGCAGGTAATGGTGGAAGCCTACCGCCGGGACGCCACCTCCAAAGATCAGCTCATCAGTGAGCTGAAGGCCACCAAGAAGAGGCTGGACTTGGAGCTGAGGGAGCTGAGGCAAGAGCTGATCAAACTCCAGGGAGAAAAGAAGTTGGTGGGGGCGGAGCACTCGCGGCTGCAAAGGGAGGTGTCCCAGGTGCACCGGCAGATGGCAGATCTGGAGGGGCACCTGCAGTCAGTGCAGAAGGAGCGTGACGACATGGAGACGCAGCTGCAGGTCAGGAGTGGCCCATGAAGGCCTATCGTGCGGTCTTGTGAGGACTCACGGGGTGGGGGGGCAATTGAGGTCAGCCGATGACTATGGACTGAGGAGTGTGGGCCGCTGGTGACCTTGATGAGGGCAGGTTAGTGGAGCCACGGGGTCAGTGAGAGGGTGAACGTTTGGTTTGAGGAGCCCAGTCTCTAAGGGGTGGGGTGCGTTTGTGTGTAACGTCTACGGTGATGAGAAGACAAATCCACTCAGATGTCCAGCATCTTGCTTGCATCTGAGCTGGCTCTGGAAGACTTGTTTATGAGCTGCTTAGACACCTTGAGGAAGGAGGCCAGAAAAGGCACGGAGCAGGGGGACAGGGTGGGATGGAGCTGCCAGTGCAGGGCTCTGCGCATGCGGCTGTGAGGTGGGCTCAGAATGTGTGGCCTTGGCATGATCATTACAGAGGGCAGATGCCTCTGTGTTGCTCCCGCAAAGTCCGACCATCGAGGGTGCCTTTGACACTTCTCACACTGGTCTCCTCCCTTCTCTCTGAAGTCTCTGCAGTTTGATAAAGAGCAGATGATCGTTCTTACAGAGGCCAACGAGGTGTTGAAGAAACAAATAGAGGAGCTGCAGCAAGAAGCCAAGACGTGAGTCTGTGCGTGAGTGGGCAGGAGTGGTGCTGTGTTACCAGTGAGTCGCGCCCTCCTAGGTGTGTCTGCACGAGGGGCACACACAGGAGACTGTGGACAAGACCGTGCCCCCACTGCCCGCCCTGGGGAGCACACGGATAAAATAATTGATACTGTCATCATGGTGCCTGAAAACTCTGCTGAGAAGCAGTAATGAGTGTGGCCTAGGAGGTTAGATTCTAAATTTAAATATAGAAGATAGATTCCATCATGATTTGGTGGTTGCTTGCTCTACAAGATAATCCCAAAGTTCATCACTTAATTTGCTAGAGTGTCTTTTTAGCCAAAGCTCCTCTTGTTTTATCTTCATTTGCACACTTGCAGCCCATCTCTCCCTCACCTCCCTCCCAGCTCCCTGACCAGTCCGTGTGGTATTTGTCCTTGGTTACCCCTTTTGTGCATACAGGGTGAACATACACCACCCCCCCCAGCACGCACAGGCACACACACGTGCATGCACAGACATGTAGGCATGCATGCTTTTGGTGGGCTTCCTTACCCACATGGCGTCCCCCCACTGCGCTGCTTTTACCAGCCAGTGTTTCCTGAATGGGCCTGACTTCTCTGGCTTACTGCTGATATCCAGTAAGAATATTGGAAAGATTTTTTTGTGGTAGGAGAGGAGCTGTTTCTCAGTCTTCACAGATCCCGGTAAGATATCCTGTAAGGGGGGGCAAGGTGTGAGGGTTACGGGAGTGGCTAAAGTGGACCTTGACCGCGCGGCCAAGGCTGTGATGTCACAACACCCTGTGCAGTGTCCACTCCTCACCTGGGTGTCCCTGAGGGGAGCCGGTTCGAGGGGGCTAAGTAGCTCATGCAGGCCCCTCGGCTGAAGAGGGACAGAGCCAGGGTCTGAGGAAGGGGCGATAGGGTGGGCATGGGTAACCCCTAACAAACACTTTACCATGGCTTGTGAGAGCGAACGGGGGTGTGGCTTGCAGTAAAGGTCTGTTCCTCTTGTGGGTTGCTCTTAGGGCCATCACGGAGCAGAAGCAGAGGATGAAGCGTCTGGGCTCGGACCTGACCAGTGCCCAGAAGGAGATGAGGACCAAGCACAGGGCCTATGAGAATGCCGTGGGCATCCTCAGCCGCCGCCTGCAGGAGGCCCTTGCCGCCAAGGAGTCTGCAGAGGCCCAGCTGGGCGAGCTGCAGGCCCAGGGCGCCGATGCTGGAGGCAGCAGCCTCGCCTTACATGTAGGTGCCCATGTGGATTTTACTGGTCTTCTTTGACTTTTACTAGTAGGTGTAAAACTCTCCTAGCTAACTGAATTTGCGCTTCACTTATTACTCTGCACTTGGAATCGTTGCATTTATATCTTAGTAAACTGTATGTCCTTTTAAATTAATGGCTTGTCTCTGCCTCCTGTCCATTTAAGAATTTAGGAGTAGGAAGAGACTACATATCAGAGCATGATGTTTTCTTGTCAAATTAATACTCCTCCCCCAGTTACTTTATAGAATTTTGGGGGAGGGGTTAGAATTGATTCCATTGCCTATTTCCTTTGTACACCCTCTCCCCACTTATCAACATTATTAGGTTCCAAAAACCAGGTTGTTATGCAAAATTGGTGTTATGTGAAAATGGAAGATGACCACATCAGTTCACAAAATGGAGGATGACTACATCATTACATAACTGCCAAATTACACCGTTACGTAACTGCTAAACTACTGAAAATCATGGCCCAGCCAAGTTAACACATAATCTTAAGCATCAAAGCCAGTGTTACTCTCGCCTCACACCTTGGCGTTTTCTACTGTCAGATGTATGTCATTAATGTACAAAAATAGTTGGATAGTAGATTTTTTACTGTTGTCATAAATGAAAATGTCAGATAACGAGATAATTGATAAGTGAGGAGAAGATGTACTTTAAGGAATGTCTGACTTTTCATTCCTTGGAGTAGACGGTAATGGTAATAGGGTATAAGATGCTACATAGACTCGGTCATCCCCTTGCCACAGGCCTCTTAACCAGTAACTGTAGCAGCTGAGTAAGAGAATAGGCTTGAGAACCTGAAGTTGTGGGTTCCACTTACAGTGTCACTACTTGTCAGATGATAGCCTTTAAAAATTGCAGTTACTCAAACATTGTGATCAGCAGTAAAATGAGGCTGAAATGAGGTAGACAATAGGACATACCTCATTAGGATGGTTAAATGAGGTGGTACGTGTCAGGTGCTTAGAACAGTGCCTGCTACCATCAGTGGTAGCTGAGGGGTGTGTGTGTGTGTGGTATATGTGTGGTGAGTGGTGTGTGTATGTTTGTGTGTATGGTGAGTGTGGTGGTGGTAAGTGTGTTTGTGTGTGTGGTGAGTGTGTGGTGTGTGTGTTCATGTGTGTATGTGGTGTGTGTATGAGTGGTGAATGTGTGTATGTGGTGGTGTGTGTGGTGAGTGTGGTGGTGTGTGTGACAGTGTGCTGTGTGTGGTGAGTGCTGTTGTGTGTGGTGAATGTGTGGTTGTGTGTGGTGAGTGTGGTTTATGAGTCTGTTGTGTGTGGTGAGTGTGTTGTGTGTGTGGTGAGTGTGTTGTGTGTGTGTGAGAGTGTGGTGGTGTTTGTGTGTGTGGTGTTTGTTATAGTACTCCAGGTGCTGCTTACTTGCCACAAGTGGTAACGTTTATCTTTTATCCGCATGTCAAAATTTTTCTATATTTTCGAAGCGATTAACTAAAAAAGTTATTTGTTCTGATGTTCTTTTGTGCGTCATTAACGTGTGCATGCTATGGTTAGTTTAAGTCTTTTAAGGAAAAGAGAAGTATCAGAATGTGTTCAGATAACTGCTAACACATTACACACCAGCTTGCGTGTGGTCACAGAGTCACACCGGGGGTGTGAGGAGGGCGAGTGGGCCACCGTGGCTGCCTGTCGTGTGGCGTAGTGAAATCCATGACCAGTTATAGCTTCACATCTTGCGGTTAGGAGAGAATCCGGACCCTGGAGGTGGAGCTGCAGACCGTCAGCCACAGTAAGATGATGCTGGAGAAGGAGCTACAGGAGATCATTTCACTGACCAGCCAAGAGTTGGAGGAGTACCGGGAGAAAGTGCTGGAACTCGAGGATGAGGTAACTACCTTTGTCGTTAGGAGCAGTGAGTGGACAAGGCTGTTTAGGGTCAAGAACCCTACGGAAATGAGGACCCTGGTGCAGAGAGAAGGGGACTTGGAGGAGCAGAACTGTGTTGATGTGCTCAGTACTACAACGATGTATCTGGTACACCTTCTGACCGTACCTTTCTTGTATTTGCTTGCTTCTCCAGCACAACGGTAGTTGTCATTCGTAATGGTAGCCCTTCTCTCAGTTAGAGTGCTTTGGTTGCAAATAACCAGAAACTCAACTCAGACTGGCTTAAGATATTAACTGACGCGTCTGGGTGGCAGGGATGCAGCAGCTCAGCGACATCACTAAGGACTCTCCCCAACGGCCCAGCCCTCCTCCCTCCTCTGCTCTTTGTATGTCTGCTCCATCCTAAGCTCAGCTTCTCCACCAGGGCAGCTCCAGGGCACGAGCTTCTTTTCTCACATCCAGCAGGGAGTGGAGGGCATCCCTGCCCAGGCCCGAGTGCATTCTGAGGAGATTGGCTGAGGTTCCATGCCCACTTAGGACCAGTCACTGGTCAGGGGGGTACTGAGGGGCTGGCTTTGGCCCCATGCCCAGTCCATGGAAGTACTTCTCTAGAAGCTCACAGTCCCCAAGAGAAACCAGGGCCATTGGCCATAGGGGAGGAGGGGAGCACTGACAGAGGAAGCTGCAGTCTGGAGTCCTTACGGGTCAAAGGGCAAAGTCACGCTGCTGCAGGTGGTTTGTGGGCCCCTCAAGAACCGCTAAACTGTTGGCATGTGTGATAACTCTGTAACTGGAGCACATCTTCTCACGGTTCCTCTGATTTGTTTCAGCTTCAAGAATCCAGAGGCTTTCAGAGGAAGATCAAGCGCCTGGAGGAGTCAAATAAGAAGTTGGCTCTTGAATTAGAGCATGAGAGAGGGAAGCTCACGGGCCTCGGACAGTCCAATGCAGCCCTGCGGGAGCACAACAGCGTCTTAGAGACAGCCTTAGCCAAGAGGGAGGCAGATCTGGTCCAGCTGAACCTGCAGGTATTCAAACTCATTTACCCAAAACAGCCAGGGTTGCTTTGGACCAAGCAGTGTTCCCAGTGTCTCACCTGTATTATCTGTATTAATCTCATAACCGCCTGCAAGCAAGACATGTCCATTCCATTTGTAGACAAGGCAGTGGAGGCTCAGAGACCCCCAAGCTGGTGAGGGCAGCGCTGGGCTCTGACTAACCTGGGGCGTCTGATGAACGTGTGGAGTGATTATATGAAGTGTATCATTTCCCCTTGTATGGTGGACTCGGGTTAGTGCACGGGGGTATTTCCACTTGAAGGCAGTCACACTGTATGTAAGGGGCCCTTTCCTGGAGACCACCTGGGATTCACAGCCAGGGTCCGGGTGGCAGGGTTTGCAGCCTCTGTGCTGAGGAGCAGGCTGGGCCTTCTGGGGAAGCTGAGCAGCAGACCCGAGAACAGGGAAGGCTAGCAAAGGGCAGCCAAGGCCACCTGGAGCCCCCACCCTTGAGTTCCATGAGTAGAGTGTTGAAAAAACATTTCCCCATAGTCCCGGGGCCTCACATTTCTGCTTTTGCATCAGTGTTCTCCAGAAATGGGGGTTTTCTCTACTTCCCAGGGCCTCACTCTCGTGGGTGACACCTCGTACTGTGTGTGGTGCCCCTAGGGTTTGGCTCTTCACGTGGCACTGATTGCAGCACGCACGTGCTCCCAGGGCTGAGTAGGTTTCTGAAATTCCGAGCCCTTCTTTGTTCATCACTTCTGCAATGCAATCTAGGTGCAGGCAGTTCTGCAGCGCAAAGAGGAGGAGGATCGCCAGATGAAGCAGCTTGTCCAGGCCTTACAAACCGCATTAGAGAAAGAGAAGGTGAAAGTGGACAACCTCAAGGAACAGGTGTGTGGCGGCTTCTTCCTAGTTTTAGACTGAAACCTAACGGAGCCTTTTTGGAATACAATTCTTCAATCTCTGTAAAAACACTATGAGTTCCCTGGGACACATCAGTTTCCCTTCCAGGAATTTACTGGAAAGGAAAGAATCTTAATGGTGTTCAGAGGACAGAGATGTTTGTCACAGCATTGTTGGTAGCTGTGAAATCCGGACACATGGCTCCACACATGTGCTGCTGGGGAAGGGTGTCCCCATGTGCAGTGTAAGGTCAGTACAGCAAAGTGCAGCCGTGTGCTGTGTCAGAAAGCAAACAAGAAAGCTGGTGGCGTACCTTTTGCACTTGCCACTCTGTGTGGACACCCTTCATGGCTGGCTCCTTCTCATGATTCCTGTGTCGGCTCACTCAGCAGACATGTCTTCTTGGCAGAGAGGCCATCCCCAGATCTAAAGTAAACCTCAACCCTGTGTGCACACACCGTCACAGTACCTTGTCTGTTGTTTCTTCGTATCTTTGTCCTCCATTAAGATACGAGCTTCATGAGGACAAACACTGAGTCTCCTGTCTGCCCTTATGTCCCAGTGCCCACCTCCATGCCCGGCACGTAGTGGACAGTCAACACGTTTGCACTGCGTGAGTGGGTGCACGTGTGTAGGTGTGAGTGTGTGTGTGTCTAGATGCTTGTGTATCCATAGAAAATATCTAAAAATATCTAGAAGGATGAACATGAATTACTAGCTGTGATTGTCTCTGGAGAAAGGTGGGAAGGGAGGCATTACTTTCCCTTTACACTTACTCTATGTTTGAATTCTTTACAAGTTTTAATTACTCTCACAATTTAAAAATTTCAACTCAGAGGAAAGCTTCTTTAGTTCTTATGACCTAGATTTTATTACATTCTTCAGAATTTTCTCTATGATAATATAACAGACATTAAAAAAAATTATTCTCACCTGAAAAAAAGTATAACTAGGAAAATTGTGACTAAAAGTGCTTGGAAAAAATGATGTATATTTGACTTTGAGTTCCTTCTTTTTTTTAGGCAGTAATTGTGGGTGATGCTTAATCATTTCTCTAAAATGCATTTAGTATTATTGTCCTGATTGTAAAAATAGTACAAGCTAGTAGGAAGTTCCAAAAAGCATAAAGATTAGAGTACAGATAACCTCAAATCTCTGTGACAGCCACCGTTAATACTTGGGCAAAATTCTTCCAAACATCGTTCATCGGATTTTTTATTTTTTTTTTACTGATTCGTAAGAATTCTCTGTATATTGTCTGTCATATATTTTTTTCCAAATTTGTCATCAGTTGTGGTCTTTTTTTAATCCAAAATCTGTTTATTGGGATGGTTTCCCACTTGTCCTGATTCAGGGTGCGTTCAGTGCTGCTGCTGTCTGAAGGGCACCCTTCGGAAGCCCTGCTTTTCCTCCTGCGGGCCAGCAGTGGACAGTGTAACTGCATGGCCACGCTTTGTGCATGGCTGGAGACCATGGTGGTTCTGTAGCATCCTGGCACTTCACACCCATGAAGTAGGAATTAGGGTTGTATACCAGATGCTGCTTCGTGTGTTTCTGCTCTTCCCGCTCTGGGGAAGGACGAAGAGGATCCTTCAAAATGTGTGCAGAGTCAGGTTCTCGTGGGGGGGTCATCACCAGCAGACTGTCAATAGTTTTTGTGATGATTCTTTCTTTTTCTTCCTCCTTTTCAGTCAAGTGTAATTCCTAGGAAAGATCTTCCTACCTCATTATAAAAACTGTCATGTTTTCTTCTAGTACAAAGGTTTTTTGTTTGTTTTTCATTGAAATGTGCCTGCTGCCACCTTAGTTGTAAAACTTGTTTTTAAATAAAGTGCTTGTTAGTGCAGTTAGACAGGCAAACTAAATTATTGGAAAGGAAAAGAGAAGATGTTGTTATATTCTAAGAATTTGCTTGTCTTGGAAAATCCTTGAGAAATCTATTGATAAACTATGAAAATCAGTAAAAGTTCAGGAAGGAGGCTATTACATCATAAATGGCCAATAGTAGCTTCCTTACGGTTAGTATGATAGAAAAGTCGATTCCTGTTACAACAGCAGTCAAAAGACATGAAGTATGAATAAATTGAACAAGAAAGATACAGATGTACCCAAAGAAGACTATAAAAACTATTTAGACAAAGAGAATCCTGAATAGATTTGTTCATTCAGTACATACTAATGCTTACTGTGCCCCAGGCACTGTGTTAGGTCCTTAAATCCTTTGTGAGGAGCTTCGTAAACTTTGGAAGAAAAAACACGCAAGAATAGCTAAAACATTTTTGAAAAAGATTTAATGGGGGTCAGGAGGGGGATGGTGCTTGGCGCATTGTAAAGCTACAAACGGCCCCTCGGGGGCTCTCTGTTGCTGTTTCCTGTACAGATCCTAATCTTGTCTTCTCCTCTCTAGGTTGCTGCAGCCAAGGCTGACGCGGGGCACAACCGCCGCCACTTTAAGGCTGCGACCTTAGAGCTGAGCGAGGTGAAGAAGGAGCTGCAGGCCAAGGAACAGCTGGTGCAGAAGCTGCAGGCAGAGGCCGATGGCCTGCAGTGAGTGCCGGGCCCAGGCAGAGGCGGGCTCACCGCGCAGCACACAGGGGCCGTGGCCAAGTCTCGTAGCCTTAACACGTGCTCTTCCCAGACACGTCGGGTGGGCAGGCATGCGAGTGTCCTCACTGGGCTCTTCCCTGGTCTACAGTCCCACACATTGAAGGCACCTGTGTTTTGGCACGTTGCCAAGTGCTGCGGAAGCAAATCCAAGAAGTATCTGATTCCAGTCTTCAGAAGTTCACAGTTTAACTTTTGAGACTTGAGCTCCATCACTGGTCTGTTTACTGTTTCCCATCCCCTGCCAGCAGGCCCTTCACTGGGACCTGTCACAGGAACAGCCACAATGTGAGCACACCTGCGTGGGCCTTGAGGCCCCCTGGAGACTCCAGTGAGTGCCACGCCCAGTCAGCATGAGTCCTCACTGGTGACTGATGTCAGAAGCATGGTGGGACGCAGGGCCAGGGCAGGTGTTGATTGTCCAGGCAGGTGGCAAAGGAGCACTGAGGCACATTGGTCCCGGGTCACTATCCCTCCATAGAAGTCTCATTGGGCTCTGGAGCCAAATCCTGGCCACCACTTACAGTGTGGTCTTGGAGGAGTTACTTACCTCCATAATCTGTAAAAAGGGTTAATGAAGCATCCGTCTTGTAGAGGGGCCCATGAAGGTTAGTTGAGATCTTGCATTTGTAAAACACCTAGACAGCCCTTCGCATGGCATAGTCCATAGTAAGTAGGTTCTTATTAGAATGAGTCTTGCCCAGCACGGGTAAGATTCAGCTGACAAGATCTGTTGTTGTTGTTAGGTACCGTCGAGTTGGTTCTGACTCGTAGCAACCCTATGTACAACAGAACGAAACACTGCCCGGTCCTGCGCCATGCTCACAATCGTTGTTAAGATCTAGCACTGTGTATTCATTCCTACTTCTTTGTTACACAGGCTTCGGGAGGGGAAGCATTCTGAGGAAGTGGCGCAGTTCCAGGAGGAGTTGGCAGAGGCCCGGGCGCGGCTGCAGCTCCTGCAGAAGCAGCTGGACGAGCAGCTGAGCAGACAGCCCACAGGGGACCAAGAGGTGACCCACCGGCTGCCACATGGCTCTGCCAGTTGACATGTTTAATTATTTCATTCTGTGGTTGCTTGGGAAGGAATATTTACTTGTCTCTAAGTGTGGTATTGAAAGATACTTTTGTCACCGTAAGCAGAGATAACACTTATAGAAATTATTTAGTGCAGGAAAGCCACTTTAAAATGCTTTTAGTCATGTGACTTTTCCCCCTTTAGATGGAAAATCTCAAATGGGAGGTGGATCAGAAAGAGAGAGAAATCCAGTCCTTGAAGCAACAGCTGGACTCAACGGAACAGCAGAGTAAAAGAGAAGTGGAAGGAATACAGCAGTTATTGCAGGTATGGTGTGCGAGGGATCTGGGCAGAGTGCAGACAGTCAGCATTTCACAAGTTAGTTGCTCGTAAGAAGTGAGTCACTAGTTACTGAGTGCTTAACGGGCTCTCATTTCATTCTCCACTCCAACTATTCTGAAGCTTTTAATCTGCATCTCAGCAGGTTTGCAGTCACTTGGTCTGGGTCACACAGCTGGAAGGAGGTAGAGCTGGGACTAGAGCCCTGTGGGGCTCCTAACCCTGGCCTGAACCATGTAAAATGTACGAGAAACAAGACTGCACTTAGCCCTGAAGGGAGAAAGTACATGTGCAGGTCTCTCCAGTTTGTATAAAGGTCTCTGAAGAGCTTTACGTAGAACGTCGCTGCCTGAGAGGATGGGGAGCACGTCTCCTTCTAACATTCCTTACTTGTAAATGAATGGCTGGGGTAGCAATTAGAACTGATGTATATTGTTTCTTAGAAATGCTTTGGATGATTCTAATAGCTGACCTTGGGATTTGAACAGGTGATTTGGGGGTTCATTGTAGAACTTAGACTTGGGAGTATTGTTGGTTCCTTGGCAGAAGCTCTGAAATTTGGGTAAGAATGTCAAGGAACTGGACGTGCCTAGATATTCCACAATATAGACTCCTGGAGAGGAAATCGTGTCGAGATAGGAAACACCACGTTTGTCATGTGAAGCTCAGCGTTACACTTTTAGTTTTACAGGATGATTTCTGACTTACAATCTCAGACCTTAGCAGTGTGTGTAAAATCTTTTAGCTTTTGACTTTCTTCTGTAGCTGAAAAGTCTGTGACTTCGCTTTGTTTAGAATATCAAATCTGAGCTGGAGATGGTGCGGGAAGATCTGTCCATGACCCAGAAAGATAAATTTATGCTTCAAGCGAAAGTGTCAGAACTGAAGAATAACATGAAGACCCTGCTTCAGCAAAACCAGCAGCTGAAGCTGGACCTGAAACGCAGCTCAGCCAAGAAGGTGGGTGGACACCAGGCCTCTTCAGGTGAACTCACGCACACTGTGGCTCTGTTCAGACGTAAGGTCGGCAGGTTCTCTAGTCAACCAGACATAAACAGGTTTATTTAACCAACATTCACTAAGCAACTATTGTGTGCCAGGCGTGATAAGTGATCATGGACTCTTTTGCTTGGACAACAGGCCAGATAATTTTATTGGTGCCTTTTCCAACAGAATATTTGCCTCTTTTCATGAATTCAAATACCATTTTGTTGTAATGTGCTTTATAAACTAAGTGAGAGAATGGTTTGTGATAGAACAATCCTTGCTTGTGGTAACAAGCACCTGCTGGCTTACTTGTGAGCACAGTGGGGACACAGCAGCTGCTAGAAGGGCCTGGGGGCCCGAGACCCCGAAGCTGCGGTCACAAGTCTAGTCAGAGTGTCTGAGCACCTGGCATTTTTTCTGTGTTCATCTATCTACATAAGTACGTTCCAGAATGCAGGTGCAGAGGAGTTTCTCAGAAGCAGAGGTTTATTTAGCATCAGCTGCCTATCTGTGGAAAAAGTTCTAATTCCTAGAAAGGGGAGTCTGATGAATTGGAAATTTTACCTAATGTCTTAGAAAACTCAAAAGTCAAGGCCTAAAGGTCTCATGGAAAACTTCCTGTGAGAGTTTCGTTTAGGAGTTAGCTCCATCCTCTTGAGGACCCAGGACTCTGTCCAAGCAGAGAGGTTGCACATGATTCCCTTGTTAATATTTTTGACCAATCACAGAGAACCCACTTCTCAGAGGAGCATCCAATCCAAACATAAAAACCCGTTGCTGGTGCTTTGTTATGTGTGTTGGAAATGCAGTAATTGATTCACTCACTGACATCTCCTAACTAACTGTTGATGAACGATGAGCAGTATGTTGGAAATGCAGTAATTGATTCA